TCCCCAAGGACTGCTTAGCCTACTTGCAGTTTCACAGTCTGTTAACTGAATGATCACTCTGGTCAAGATTGATGCAATTGTCTCCCCAGTGTTCCTGCCCCCTTTTTCTGCACAGAGCTGTATCATAACATGGCATCCTTCTCTGTCCCATCCAGTGGTTGTGGTGATAAATGTCATATTCTTTTAGGGCCCCATCCCCTTCCCTTGGCCACAGTTTACAGGTGTGTGAAGCTATATTGTTGGCTGTATTGTTACTCTGACAGAGCTGTAGACTTCCCTATCCCACTGGTATTAGACTTGGTCATGTGAATTACTCTGATAGCAGCTTTAAGAGTTAGCCCAAGGTTTCCTGTGTCTTCTCTTTTCCTCTGCCATGAGACCAAAATGCTCCAGTTGTAAATTACTTCTTCCCAAGTAAAGTTCCCAACATGGAGCCAAGCCACAGCCAACCCACAATGGACATGAAGCACATGCAAGAGGTAAACTCTGTCGTCCTAAGGCACTGAGATTTAGGAACTGTTTGTTACTACAGCATAACCCAGCCTATCCTGACTGATGCCCCAAGGAATAGATATTCTCCCAAGTTGGGTTAAAGAAGCCCTGGTCTGGAAATTTTAAACCTAAGGACCAAGAAAATTAATTTCTTTGGGTGACTGAAGATGTTACATAAAACTCAGGTGACTGCCATATTTTCATGGATTGAGGAGGAGAGGACACCAGTGTAGAATTAAACAGATGAAACTGATGCCAAGACAGAAGCAGAAACAGGGAGTAGAGGGAGAAACCTTAGAGGCAATGATGACAGCAGTTCTCTAGAATAAATTGCATCTTGGTTCTTACTGTGCCTTGGTTGTCTTACTCCCTCTGGATTCTCTAAACCTTCCAGAGAATATGCCTTATTTTTTAAACCAGTGTAAGTTGTATTAAGTAATTTCTGTATTTTGCAATTAGAACCCTAACCTATATATCTAACTTTACAGATTAAACACTAGTCATAGAGAATGGGTGGGACCTGCCTGTGTTCTCAGCACCCTTTTTGATAGCAGCAAGATTCACTTGACATAGTCCAGTGCATGATCTTCTTCAGCCAGTCAGAGGCAGCAGGAGTGGCATGGGGGATACTTGGGGTTCACCTGCTGCTGGGAACTCCCATGATCCTCCAGACTGAGTCCTAGCCAGGTATCTCAGCTGTCAGAATTTGAAGGGAGAAATAACAAGTTTGCAGAAAGCCTAGACTATCAAGACACTAAACCATGGAATCATGAAATGGGAATTTCCCCCAGGATTTTATTTTCCTGTTTTTCTAAATATTTAAAAAACATATATTCTTAATACTAAAACCTAAGTCACTTAGAAAAGTACAATGAAGAAAGCAAAAACTCTCCTGAAATCCCATCACTCCGAAAGAAAGGCTGTTAATATGCCAGTGATTATTCATCCAGATATTTCTCTCAGTCTATATGTATAGCCACATATAAATAGATTCAACGTTATGCAGATGGAATCATACATGTATGTGGATTTGAAATTTTCTTTTTTCACTTAACAATACATCATAAATATCTTCTATGTCAGTAAGTACAGAATTATATTGTCATTTTTAACACCTACTTGGTATTCCACCCTATGGATGCATTTATTCTGGCATGCTATCATGGGATTCCATTCAGTACACAACACTGCATAATAGCTGAGATTGTGGTCTCTGGAGCGACAACACCTTGCTTTAAATCCTAGTCCTCAATTTTCCAGCTGTAAGACCTTGAGAAAGTTGCTTTCCTCTCTGTGTGTTTTGTCTTCTGCAGAATGGAGATGCTAATAGTACCTTCTTACTCACAGTGTTTCTATTGTGTTTTATTCTGATGATTAAACAAGTTAATACACAGGAAGTGCTTAGAATAATCCCTGCATTGGCCCAGCTCTGTGGCTCATGCCAGTAATCCCAGCCCTTTGGGAGGCCAAGCCAGGAGGATCACTTAAGCTTAAGAGTTTGAGACCAGCCCGGGCAACATGGCAAAACCCTGTCTCTACCAAAAACAAACAAACAAACAAAACAGAACAAAACAAAACAAAAATTAGCCAGATGTGGTTGCATGTACGTGTAGTCTCAGCTACTTGGAAAGTTGAGGTGGAAGGATCGCTTGAGTCCAAGAGGTCCAGACTGCAGTGAACTGAGATCACACCACTGCACTCCAGCCTGGATGACAGAGGGAGACCCTGTCTCAAAAACAAAGAATAAAAAAGAATAATGCCTGCATCACACATCACAGTAAGTCTCACTGCATAGTACTATGATTTAATTATATTTCAATAACTAATCCCCTATTGACAGATATTTGGGTTGTTTCCAATTTTCTACTATATTTCTGCAAAGCAACAAACATCTGCTATATATATTTTGTCCACTTGTCAGATGATGTCTTTAGATAAGTTCTTGAAAATGAATTTGTTTGTATATAAAGCATTCAACTTGATGTTTGTCCTCAAACTGCTTTCTAGAAATGTTGTACTAAATCACATTCTCATAAACAGTGAGAGAGAATGCCCATTTTTCCAGACCCTTCAGTAGCACTGAATTTGTTCAATATTTTAAAATTTGCCAGCTAATAGGTAAAAAGTACAACTTCCTGAATTTTTTATTTGCATTTATTTCACTGCTAGAGAGGACGGTTATTTTCTCCTGTTTGGGACCTTTATATTTCTTTTTTTGTGAACTGCCTGCTCATCTCTTTTATTCTTTGTTCTATTGTGGTGATCATATTTTTTTAGAAATGATTATAAGAGTTCTTTGTAAGATATCTACATTAAAATGTTGCTGTTATGTTAGGGCTGCCAGATTAAAATGCAGGACATCAGGTTAAATTTGACTTTCAGACAAATGATGAACGGGACATAATCATACTAAAAAATCATTCGTAGTCTATCTGAAATTCAAATTCAACCAGGTTTATATTTCTATTTGTTAAACTTAGCAACCCCATCTCTTATGGATAGCGAATATTTTTCCAGTTTGTTGTTTATTTTTGAATTCTGTTTATGGTGTCTTTTTCCATGAAGATGTTTATTTGGATCTTTTATAATCATATATATCAGTCTTTTCCTTTATGGTTTTATGATATATTTAGAAAGGTTTTCAGAATTCTAGGTTTATGATGAATTTTTATGTACATATTCATCTAATTATTTTTTGACTTCGATTTTTTATGTTCAATTTATGATGGATCTGGAATTTGTTTTGGTCTGGGGAACTAGGTAGAAAATGAGCTCCCCACACTTTCACTAATGACTATCTAGTTATTCCAATATCATTTATTTAAAAATCTATCTATCTGGGCCAGGCGCGGTGACTCACACCTGTAATCCCAGCACTTTGGGAGGCAGAGGTGGGTAGATCACCTGCGATCAGGAGTTCGAGATCAGACTGGCCAACATGGTGAAACCCTATATCTAACAAAAGTTTGCCAGGAGTGGTGGCGTGCGTCTGTAATCCCAACTACTTGGGAGGCTGAGGAAGGAGAATTGCTTGAACACAGGAGGCAGAGGGTTGCAGTGAGCCAAGATCATGCCATTGCACTCCAGCCTGGGCAACAAGAGCGAAACTCCATCATAAAATAAAATAAAATAAAATAAAATAAAATAAAAACTATCTATCTGATTAACATGAAGTGCCACCTTAAACACCACAGTTTCTCATGTACTTCTAATTCTGGGCTCTTCATCCCATTCCATTGAACAGTCATGTCCGGGCCAGTAATGTGCTGGCTTTTGCTTCGTGACAGAGGCAGTGTCGTGTGATGGGATTGAAGCATATAGACGCATAGTTTTTACAGGCCGAACGCCTGCATCAAACCCCTGATCCCGTATTCCTACCTGTGTGACCTTGGGTGTGATACTTACACTTTTGGGCTTCCATTTCCTAACTGAAAATGGCAGCAGTATCAGTACCTGCATCATACAGTTGTTGTGATGAATAAAATGTATTAATCCATGTAGAGCACTTCCTTAAATAGTAAGCACTCAGTCAATGTATTTTATTTATTCATTTATTCATTTATGCATGCAAGCATTTCTTCATTTTAATATCCAGCAGGGCTAGCTTCCCTTATGCTCTTCTTTATCAACATTTTGTTGCCTGTTCTCTTTATTCTTCCACATGACACTAAGAATCATGTCAAGTTAAAAAGAAAATTCTACTTGGAATTTGATAGAGATGGCATTGAATTGACAGATAAAGAGGACATGATAGGATTACACTGTTTACCTCTTCTTGTCCAAGAATAAGGTGTGTGCCATAATAGATTCAAGTCTTCTGTAGTCTCCCAGTACAGAAGGTTGTTTGTTTTGGGTTTTTTTCACACTTCATGATAAGTTTATTTTCCTAGCTACTGTGTCTTGGCTATTAGTGAGAATGGGATTTTTTATTTGCCTTTCAAACTGGTTAGTAAGTGCACAAGAACACTGTTAATTTGGAATGTTTATTTTGTAGCCTGCCAGTTCCTTGGAAAAGCTATTATTTCAACAATCTTCAATTTGCACTTTCCAACTACACAATCACATCCTCTGCAAATAGTAATCATTTTTCTCCCGCTTCACATACATATAATATATATACATGTATACACACATATAGAGTATATATTTTTTAACAAAAGCACAACTTCAGTGTTTTTACATCTTATTTCCTTCTCTTGTCTAATTGCATTGACCAGACGTCCCAAACCGGCCCCCTGCTCTTGCCCCTAACTTTAATGGATATGTTTGGCTTGCTGTTAAACATACTGCAGGAGAAGGCTTTGAGAGGGTTTTGTTGTCGTTGTTGTTTGGGGTGATTTTTTTTTTTAACTGTAAAGGGAATATCTGAAGAAAATGCATTTGAAGAGCATATTAGAATAGACCAGATTGGTTTGTGCGCCTGCAAGGAGCCCTTGAGCCCCCTCCCCTCGCTGCCAACGCTCTGCCCCGGGGGCTGAAGTTTCTCTCTGCGTTTCCGCTTGAACAGCGTCCAGCTGCCTCGCCCTTAAAATGACAGGGCAGCCGCGGCTCCGCTCAGAGCCCCCTCTCGGCTGCTGGCCCGGGCTCGCCCGCGCCGCCGGGGCTCTGACTCAGCCGCAGCCCGGCCGCTCCCGCCGAGCCGGGCCTGGGCAGCGCCCCCCGCGCCTCGCGCGCCCGCGCCCCCGGCACCGGAAAACGCCGTAGCCAGCGATCCGCGGTCGCCCTGGGCTCGGCACCGGCCCAGCCAAGACCCCGGGAGCGCACGGGACGGGCCTCGCCAGGTAAGGACCGCGGGAGCATCCCGGGACCCGCCGCCGCGGCGCCTGCGGGGCTGGAGCGCAGCATCGTCGGTGCCGCCGGGGCTTCGCGCGTGTCACCGGCCACAGGCGGAGGATCTGCTCGCCGAAGTCGGGCCGAGCCCTGCGCGGCCGCGAGGGGACCCGCGTGGACACCGGGACCGATCCCCTCCAGGGCGGCACTGCGCCCGGGGCGCGCCTCGGTTAGCGGGGAGGGCCGGACCCGCGCGGCAGGTGACAGCAGCCTCGGTGGGAGCCGCACGGGCGCCGCGTCGCAGCGGCCCGAATTCCACTGCGGGGCTCGGGGCTCGGAAACCGGGAGAGTGTGGTGCTGTGCTCAGGCACCCTCGCTGTTCTGAGCCTCGCCTCCCCATTCGGGGATCTTTGGCCTCTCTGCTATTGAAGGGTTTGGGGAGTGTGAGTTGAAACTGAATCAAAGTTAGAAAGTCCTTCTCGTCAAGTTCAGTGCCTAAAATTCCGTCTCCTGTGGCTGATAGTCACATAGAACAGATTTTTTTTCTCAGTGTAACTGATGAAGGTCAGCACGGATGTAACTTATGGGAAAAGTTCTGTTGGTGGCAGCCTTTCTAAAGAAATGTCAAGTCTTCGTTGGATTTTGTTCTCATCTATGGCAAAAACCCTAATCCACGCTTTCATATATTTTTCCATATCAGTGGAGACGTGGAGAATGATCTTGGGTTCTAATGTTTTGGGGAATGTATTATGGAGCCGAATTTGATAAGAGTCTCCATGCCCGCAGGGAAAGTTCTGGAAAGAAACCTGTTAGAAAGTCCAAGCTGAGGCATCTCCTCACCAGGTGTGCAATAGGGCCACAGTGGCCTGTCAGGATGTGGCTCAGGACCCAGGAAAAAAGCTCCATCGAAGCCTGTGCTGCCTTCGTCGGGAGAAGTTCCATTCTAACCCACTCGTGCATCCGCCAGCAGGTTCTTCTCAGTCCTTCCCTGATTCTAATCAGAGGATTCGAGTTTCTGGATGAACACTGTGATACAATCTTACCCTTTTCCATAAAATATATATCCAGTGAAATAAGGGGTCTATTTCCCGGGGTCTGGAGTTGAAGTCTTCTATTCTTCCCTCACCCTCATTAAGCCACCTCTTGAAAGGAACTGTAATAATCTGATTTGTGGTCTTTGCAAACCTGCAAAGTGTGTTTAAGACCTCATAAAGCCAAACATTCAAGGCCTTAAAAGTAACTTATAGATTAGATTTTGATTAAGGCTACCTTTTCAGGGATGGCTCAGCATAAGATACATACCAGCTTTGAGGAGGCATTAGGGAGGAAAAGCAAAATCTTACCTCCTTGGGAAAACTGTTCTGAAATTAATGACTTTACATTTATCCAAAACAGAAATTGTGGGTAAGCTGCTTATTTATTCTGTGTAATCCTTGCATTCATATATCCTTGTTTCAAAGGATTAATTTCCCAGTTTTCCCAGTAATACTGTTTCTGATTTTTTAACAGCATGCAGGTAATGAATGCATAGAGCATAATGTGTCTCTACCCTAAATACTTATGGAAAATTATAGCAAATTTCTGGCCATTATATGTTTAAGATGCAGATTTAAAATAAAGTTATGGTGGAAAAGGAGTTGTTTTAAAAATAATATGAACTTTAATTGGCCTAAAAAAAAAAACTAGTTCAACTAGAAGTTCAATTGCTGCTTGCTTATAAATTGTGATTTACAGAATTGCGTGTTATCTTTCCAGTTTCTTTCCTCACAGGGTTAATGAAAGAGGCAGCCATTCTGAATATACTGCCTTGCTAGTTAATCTTTGTCCAGCAAATATTTACACTACCAGAGCACACTATTATAGCACAGACTCAAAATCTGCAACCTTAAGGTAGTTTGTGTGTAGTACTGCCCAAATTCAATACTATTTTCATGACTTAAATAGAAAATGAAATGATATCAAGGAAAATGTCCTTAAAGTATCCTGTCTTGCCATAATAGAACAGTGTTTATAAAACTGACATGGTTCCAAGACTGAGGTTAATGCTTCTAATAAGTTCTGATGTAGAAGAAAACCATAATGACTCTGAATTTTGGCATTGAAGGCTCTGGAACTGGTTCGTGTCCATAAATTTTTTAGATACGTTAAGTTTGCTATTAAAAGTGACAACATTTAGAACAGTTTTGGACGGAAATATTTCTAAAGCACATTACACGCTTCCTACAATCAGCGAGTCAGCAAATGGGAATTTGCGTGTTTCCTGACAACTCAAGATCAGCGCTGTGAATGTCAGTTGCCTTGTGGACATCAGGGGAGAAGGAACACTGGCATTTGTGGGGACAGATCAGCGTTTAGTCCTGGCTCTGCCACTAGTCAGATGATCTTAAGCAAGCCACCTTTTTTTATCTTCAGTTATCTTATTTGTAAAACCCCAGAATCATCAATACCTAAAAGTCAGTTCCATTTATTAAGCACTTAGTGTATACTAAGCATTTTATATATTCCATCATTTAATTCTCAGAATTATTATTCCCATTTTCCTGATAAGGAAACTAATGATCAGAGAAGCAACTTGAATTACCCAAGGTTAACTGAGGTAGGAAAACTGGGATTCTGAGCAGGGGTCACCTGGTTTTGAAGCCTGTGTTCTTCTCACCTATGTTGAACCTATGGTATGGGGTTGCTCAGTGAAAAATATCTTTGATATAAAGTGAGCACTCAAAAAACTGTAGCTACACCTAACTTTTGATGACCAGTTGCACTGAGTGAGGATGAAGTGAGATAATTCATGTTTTGGGCCTGCAGTGTGGCCCCTCTGGAAGTTATCACGGCTGCCTCAGTTATCCCCTGGAACTTCCATGCCTCTGAGACTCAGCTTCCCCGTTTATGACTTAGGGAAGCATTGCCTTCCTTGCTGAGTTGTTATGGGACTTGTAGTTGATGTATGTGAGAGCCGGGCACCTAATAGGTGTTTTACAAACAGTCCTTGTAAACCGTTCCCTTCCATCGTCTGTTCCTTTTGCTTCATTATGGACCTCAGTGCTCTGTAGATTTCTTTAATCTACACGTCCTCAAACACGTACCTCTAGGGCTGGACATTCCCAGAAGGGTCCCTGCTGTGCCCCAGTGACTGTGATGCTTCAAGTCCCCCCAAGGTGGAGGCCCCTGGGAAAACACATTCAGAGGGAAACGTAGGAAAACAGTATCATGGATGGGAAGGATTAGGTTGGGATCCCTAACCCCAGAATCCCCAGCCCATCACTCATCCCTAGAGCCACAGGCTTCTAAGAGGCCCCTGCAGCACAGAGGCTTCTGCACATATGAGCATTCACTGGTGTTTCTGTAGCTGCGGCCTCAGGCCCCTTTGCTGGTGCCCTCCCCGCTTACCAGCCCAGTTCTGCTTTTAGCCCTCACTCAAGATCTAGTCTGAAAGCAGAACAAGTGCCTCCCTGATCCTCTCCTCAGGGCCACATCATCACCCTGGCCCTCAAGTTGTTACTACTCATGTGGCAAGGACAGGCCCAGACAGGGGAATAAAAAGAAAGGAACCTTTCTCATTTAAACCAGAGGCGTCAGATTTTCCCGTTGACAGAAAATGTGACCCTGGGGTCTCAGTAAATGACTTCAAGGCAGCACAGATTTCATATTCGGTACAGAGTTTATGCTCTGTCTTTATGGGAATTTTGTATCCTTCCTCTAAAAGATCTGACTCCTAGTGCCCTCGTCCCATTAGAATCCTGCAGACTCCAAAATGGTGTTCTATCCCTGTCCTTAGGATGGCGTGATAGAAAAGAGCTGAGTTCCCCCGAGACTGGAGCAGGGTCAAAAAGACAGAGAATCGAGGCTGGGCACAGTGGCTCAGCACTTTTGGAGGCCAAAGCAGGAGAATCGCTTGAAGCCAGGAATTTGAGACCAGCCTGGGCAACAGAGTGAGACCTTATCTCCACAAAAAATTTTTTAAAAATTAGCCAGCCATGGTGGTATGCCTGTAGTCCCAGCTACTTGGGAAGCTGAGACAGGAGGATCACTTGAGCCCAGGAGTTCAAGGCTGCAGCGAACTGTGATTGCACTACTACACTCCAGCCTGGGCAACATAGTGAGACCCTGTTTCTACCAAATTAAAAAAAAAAAAATCAAAAAAGGAAAGAAAGACAGGGAATTGTGCTGCCACTCCTGCAACCTGGGCTGGTGGCAGACATGGGTAATTGGAATACAATGTTCTTTCCATAGACATGAATCTCCATGCCCAGGTGGTTACCATGAGTTGACCAGAGGTGGCAGGCATACTGACACCTGTTATTTAGAGGCTGATATTAATAGCTGACAAGTGGCCTGACACTGCATGGCCTTTATCATCACATCCAGTTCCCACCGGCTACCCTGACTTCTTGGCTCAGACGGAGTTTCCTGTGTTCTAGAAAACTGCAAATAAATGGCATACATTTGTCACACCTCCCTCTCTTGCCTAGAGCAGACATTGCTAATCAATCATGATATTCTTTCCCCTGGGGCCAGAACGAGGCCTCAGAATCCTTTTCTACAACTGCCTGGAGTTGGCTTAGGAAATGGTATCTAGTTAGGTACTGCAGACAATGGGGAGACATTGAGGAGTTTTAAGCCAAGAGAGTAATGTGGTGGCAAAACTCCTGAAAGTGTTTCCCTAATGGACCTTTCTTTCTCTCCTTACCCTTTCCACTGCCTCTCCTATAAGCCATAGGAACATCTATAGAAATGACCCCTGTGCAGGCAAACCTGCCCCAAGATTCCCCACATCAGATGCAGGCTCTCTTGATGCTAGGCCTGAGAGAACACGTCTGTGCCCAGGTTGGGCTGCCTGCATCGAATCAGGTATGACTTGCAAGACCAGGACATCAAAGACAATTAGACTTTAGAGTTGGTTCATTTGTGTGTGAGAGGGCATAGTCTAGGCTGGCACCGCAATGAGGTTCCATGCATGGGAACAGCCATAAGCCTCAGGTCCCTGGAGGGCATGGGAGGGCATCCTCTCCAT